GACAAAGTAGAAAATTGAGTGACCTGGGGAAATTCTGCCTGTAGCTCCTCAGCTGCCCTCTTTATTAAATAATTTCCCAGTTCAATGCCCTTCAAAGAAAAAAAAACGATGCAATGATTTAATATTTTTCACTAGGAGTAAGCCAAAAAGAAATTCTCATTGCTAACCTTTAAGCCCTGTTGAGTGGATGTGATGGAATAGAAAACAGCAGCTTTGACGAGAGCTGGATCTTCTGTTTCTTGATGAACACCTGGAAGACCTATCTCAGCTATAGAAGTATCAACTGTAAAAAAAAACAGCAATATATAAATTTTACTTACAAGTGAAAGAAATAGGGTCCACACACTTCAGGGATGATTAAAATGAGTGTTTATTATAATTTACCTGAAAGGCGAGAAGCAGCTGCAACAATTCCTGCCATGCTTGATGATATTTCGTCACACAAAGCTATGTGTAGGACAACTATAGGTTCATCAGGCATGCTATTATGAGTGTATACAAAACATCGTCGGTATAATCCCACTCTCCGCTTTAGATCAGTCCAACTGCGGACTGGGTGTACAGCTTCATACTCTGATATCTGATGGACAGGGGAAATAATCAATGCTTAAAAGTAGTGAAGAAAAGAATGATAGAAGCATCAGTGAAATACTCTGAGTACCTTCTGCAGCATTTCACAAGGAGATTTCCAGGTGACTCTTTCTACAGCCAAAAAACCAACTGAAAACCACATTGATAGTAATTCTCGAAGAGTGGAATTTAATCTTTGCATTGGTACAACAGCTTGGTCAAATGGGTCCAACTGTGAGATTAAATCCTAGACAATTGAAAACATTGCAAAGTTAATGTTATTAATATTACAATAAAATATTTTCCTAGCACTTTGAGATGAACTTACAAGGACATCAGTCCGAAGATCAACTAAAAACTTTACTCCTCTCTCCAGGCGGCCAACATGCATGAAGAGCCACGAATATTGTGCGGTTAAAGAATTTTTCAGCTTTTCCTCTAATTTAATAAACTGCTTGCTTAAGTTCCTTTCCTCCTTAGAATGTGAAATAAAAATAAATTTGAAACAAGACTAACACTGGCATGTTTTTACATATGTCTGTTACAAAATATACCTCAAGTTGCGCCATTTGCTCCGCAGCCTTGCGCACTGCATTGTGATCAATAGCATAGTCACAAGCCAACACTTTCAAGAATCCTTCCTTGTGAGGTTTTAACAAATACGAGTATGCCGCACATAAAGATTTTACCTTACTCTAGAAAGAAAATATATGATCAATTCAGAAGCAATTATCCAAACATCAGATATAATACATGAATTATTCAGGAATAGTAAATAGTCACAACTTGGCGATTAGTATGGCTATACAAGAAAATAATGAGATAAAAATACTTACTTCAATGATCCAGTTACTCATGTTAGTGTCCTGATATGCCAGAATTTCCTTGAGTAAAGCAACAACTCTAGCTTCATCGTCAACTGTACTTTCTCTTCGAAAATTATTTGATTTTTCAGTTGCACCAAAATAATACGCTGGACTGTCATCATCGGAATGAGACTGAGAAGCTCCTGGAGAAGGTGACGCTGAACTCCGACTTGCAAATCTGCTGTTTACACCACTAAAACCTAATATCTGGTTGAAAAATCTCCAGCCATCGGATTCACGGGAAGACATGTGTTCTGAATATGGTGCAAGGGTGCTTTTCACCCTTGAACTCGATAGAGACAGCTCCAAAACAGAGAGATTTAGGTTATGTACGTGAGAAAGTCTTCTGCTAATCATCATAAACACAGAGGTTCAAAACAGCTGACGCTAGAACGGTGCCGGTGGGTGGACGGCGGTTTGTTGGAGCGTCCTCCACTAGATGGCAGCAGCACACTAGCAGGAGAGCACTGCAGGGTAGTTCTTTGAACTAGAAATGTGGTAAACGTTCCGTTGACAAAGCGACTTGTCACCTCGGAGGAGGCCGGCGGAAGTCGTGGTCACGGCCGATCAGCTGACTGCACTATCGCACAGCCATGCCCGTCCGTCACCTTAGCCACGCCCGTCAGCTAATTCCCCTAGTCAAAGGCATCTCCTCCCCTCATTACACCTTACTCACTCTTTTTCTACTCGAAAACAATAAAAAAGAAAAGTTCGAGTAAAAGGCAATAAGGCGCAACGTCGGACGATTTCGACGAAAAGATATATGGCGCTTTCCGGCCGGCCAGCCAAAGGTGACGCCTGCTCTAGCCGCCTGTTAGATCCCATGGCGCCAGGCGTCATCATCTGCGGCTGTCCGGACTATACCGGGTGTCCGGAAGAATACGCGGCAGCTCGATGGGTTGCCTAGGCACGGGTGTGCAGGCGCGAAGGGCGAGGCGGAAGAGGTGGTGTGGGAGGCAGCCGGTTGCCCCCCGTTGCCTCCATCGCTACCCCCACGCCCTCCACGCCTGCACACCAGTGCACGTCCCTACTTGTGGCCACAAAATTGTGGCCACAAACCCGGCGCGGCGGGGCGCGCGTGCCTCCGGCCCGGGGAGCCAGAAGTGCCCCCATTCGGCCGCTCCGTGACAGAAATTTCAACGTAAATCGGCTCTAGCTCTGGACCTATTGGAGCTACAGCGTCCAGATTTCGGCTGGAGATTCTTCTAGTAAAACTGAACGAATCCTAAAGTGGGCGATCACCTCACGCACAGGGACACCAGTTTTATTTCGATTCAAAGTAGGGTCCTTGGGGCAAATTCGTAGAACGTCGATTTTTCGGAAACTATTCATCCCACAGCGACCTGGCTTTGCAGGGCACTTTATATTCACAAACCGAACATTCCTGGCTAGTCT